TTAAAAAAAAAAAAGAATATAAAGAAGATGTTGGAATCTACATTTCAGTCCAAACCCGACAACACATTCGAAATGTATGTTGAGCTTCAAATTCCTAAAGAAGAAAGAACAATGGATATGGAGGATCACAAAATAGAATCCCAAGAGAAGAAGAAGAAGATCAGTAAAAGGGTTTGCCATATTTGCAGCAAAGAGTTCGATTCGGGCAAAGCCTTAGGAGGCCACATGAGAATTCACCTCCAACTTCCATCACACCTCAAAACTCACCCCACCATCAAAAAGCCCAACAATAAAAAACCCACTATTAACCTTGGTTTGGATAACAATCACAAGAAACCAAATTGCGTTTTGTGCGGCAAGAATTTCCCGTCATGGAAATCGCTCTACGGGCACATGAGGTGCCACCCGGACCGCGGTTGGAAGGGAATTAATCCCCCATCCTTTTCTTCTTCTTCTTCATCCGACTCGTCTTCTTTATCCAATGAAGACAATATGAAAATAATAATAAAAAAAAATCGAGCTCCAGTTGTCGACCTTGCAGCATCAATAAAAGGTTGGTCGGTCACTGCTGAACGAGGCCGCAAGGCTTCTTCCGGAACCTCTTCGGAGATTTCGAGCGAGTTGCTTAACGCCGTGAATTATCTCCTCATGCTCTCCAGAGGGGGGCCCACCAATCCAATTGGGAGTGTTGACTCGGTCAAAAAAGACGAGCATTGGGAAAACAAAAGGAAGAAGAAAGCAGATGATGATGATGATGATGATGATGATACTTATTATACTTGCGATAATAAGTCCTTGTCGAGCCACAACAAGCTCAATGGTATCGTGGTTCGTTTCGACCTCAATGAGATGCCTCCATCTGAGTTAGAGTCATCTCACCTCGATTTCACTTGTTAATTATGTTACGAATGTTTTGTTTTATATGTTATAAGTGTTAATGAATATGGTTTAGTTAGTGGTAAATAGGTTGTGGCCACATATATCTATGTATTTATGGCCTTGGGTGGTTTTATGTCTATGAATATGGGATGTTGAGGGGTGTTTTTGTCATTATATATTTTATTTGGTTCATGGAGATCATGGCATGGCCTAACAAGCATCCTGTGACTGATACCATCTCAGATTCTTTGTATTGTTGACCAATTTATAATTAAAACCAAAGTATCAGCTGATTGTTAATTTAAAAAAAAAAAAATGTGTATACTGGTGGGGCATAGGTATATTCGCCAAAGAACAGCTTGTGGGCCCATTTGGGGAATTGCTGACTTCTCAACGACTCATTTGTTTAAGTAATTAAACCGCTGTTACGAAGTCATGTGCATGATATTCGGATGTTCAAGTAGCTGTGGGGAAAGGATTTTCATTTCCAAAATCATGTTCCAATTGGTAGATGGTTGATATGTATATAATTCTGACGACGCGGTTATGAATGTGTCATTCATCCAATTGTGAAACATATATTTAAACATTATTTTTAATAGAAAACTTCATCTCGTAAGGCTAATTACAAAACTATCCTAAAACAAGTAAAGGTGTTTGTAACTCAGGAGTGGAAGTGTTTAGTGTTGTTAAGCATTAGGGCTTGAAAATATTTATTTGCACGGTTTGTCTATAAAGCAAACAAAAAAAATTTTAGTGTTCTTATTATTCAATATTGATTAATTATTTTCTATATGTAACTATAAAAAGGAATCAGCAAGCCTGAAATCCGTACTAGTATAAGATTATAAAAACAATAAAAAAAAATAACATTTCAGCCCAACAAAACTTTGCTACATAGAAGGGATACTAATAGAACAAATGCAGTAAGCCATCGAGAGAGAAAAAGGAATGTTACTGTTTGTATTTCAGAAGAATGAAAAGTCTTAATGTGTACAAGAGAGAGAACCCCTATTTATACTTGGGGTTGAGAATGTAAATAATACAAGTCTTGTGGTAAAAAATATAAAAGATATAAAACCTATACATATTCTATTACCCCCCCCTCCCCCCCTCAAGATGAACATGAATGTTTTTCAAGTTTATCTTGGAACACAAATCAGAAAAAGAAGGATTGCCAAGTGGTTTTGTAAGGATGTCAGCTATTTGCTCCTTTGATGGGATATGGTGGACTGAAATGGTGCCTTGTGTGATCTTTTCCCGGACGAAATGACAATCCAACTCGATATGTTTTGTTCTTTCATGGAAGACAGGGTTAGTAGCAATGGAAATGGCAGCTTTGCTATCTGAGAAAATGTAAACAGGGGTTGAATGAGCAACATGTAAATCATTTAACAAGTACAATAACCATTGAGCCTCACAAGCTGTATAGGATAAAGCCCTATATTCAGCTTCAGCTGATGACTTACTGACTGTGGGTTGCTTTTTGGATTTCCAAGAAATTAAAGAGCTACCCAAAAAAAATGCATAACCAGAAACACTTCTCCTACTATCTATACAGCCTGCCCAATCTGAATCAGTATAACCAGAGATAGAAAGAGAAGATGATCTAGGATAGAATATACCTTGCCCCACAGTTTGTTTCAAACACCTTAACACCCTGTGGACTGCTGAAAGGTGTTGCTGTGTTGGTTTCACCAGAAATTGGCTGAGACTTTGAACACTATAAGAGATGTCAGGTCTTGTAATAGTTAAGTATAAAAGCCTACCTATAAGCCTTCTATACTCAGTAGCATCTACAAGAACTGCCTCAGTATCATTACCTGTCAACTTTATGTTTGAATCCATGGGAGTTGCTGCAGGTTTACTACCAAGATAACCAGTATCATGCAATATATCTAGTGCATACTTTCTTTGGCATATATTTATACCAGTGGATGATTGTGCAATTTCAAGGCCCAAGATATATTTTAATGTTCCCAGGTCCTTTATTGTGAAACATTGATCCAGATGAGATTTAATAGCATGTATGTCATTGAGATTATTTCCTGCTAATATCACATCATCCACATATACCAATAATGCAAGAAAGGAATCACTAGATTTTTTAATAAACAAGGAACAATCAGAAACAGATTGTGTGAAACCATAATCAATGAGACAGTGAGTGAGTTTTTGGAACCATTGCCTAGAGGCTTGTTTTAAGCCATAGAGGCTTTTAGTCAATTTGCACACTCTACTGTCAGATTGAGTAAGATAGCCTGGGGGTGGAACCATATAAACTTCTTCATCAAGATCCCCATGTAAAAATGCATTATTGACATCTAACTGATGTAGATGCCAATTATGTATGGATGCTAATGCAATAAGTAATCTCACTGTGGTTATTTTGGCAACAGGAGAGAAGGTATCAAAGTAATCTATACCTTCCTCCTGTGTATAACCTTTGGCTACCAATCTAGCTTTATATCTCTCTATAGAACCATCAGCTTTATATTTGATTTTAAAAACCCATTTACAACCTATTGCATTTTTACCTGGTGGTAAATTTGTTAAAAACCAGGTATTTGTTTTTTCCAAAGCAGTGATTTCTTTGTTCATGGCATCTTGCCAGAGAGGATTAGCAGCAGCCTGCTTATAAGTTTTAGGCTCTGTATTTGTAGTGATAGAAGTAGTAAAACATGCATGGGGTTGTGATAATGATGCAGTAGATAAGAATGATTCAATAGGATATAATGAAGATGTACTAGAAATGTGTTGAGACTGATTAGAGGTGACTATATTTGAGGATGGTTTAAGATGGTGTTGATATGCCTTGAGGTAGGCTGGAGTAGTTCTTGGTCTGGTTGACCTTCTTGGTTGAGGTGATGATTGAGAAGGGGATGGTGGGTTAGAATGGGGTGGTGAATGGGTTATTATCTGAGATAGGGATTGTATATGAGGTGATGAGGTTTGTTGAGTATTGTTGGGTTCTGAAGAGGTGACTGGAGTGAAACTGTTTGTAGGATAGGAAATATTTTGGTTGATGTTATGATCATGATCAAATGGAGGAGGTTCAGAGAATAAAGGTATGTGAGTAGTATCATTTAGTTGGGTTTTGAAAGGAAAGACAGTCTCATAAAAAATCACATTTCTAGAGATTAATGTGTTCTTAGTATCAAGATTATAAAGTTTATAACCTTTATAACCTAAGGGATACCCAAGAAATATGCATTTGGATGCTCTTTGTGCGAATTTATGTCTATGTGAATGCAAAGTGGAAGCATAACAGAGACAACCAATAGTTCTGAGATGATCAAGAGATGCAGTGTGGCCATATAATGCTTCATATGGTGATTTGCCATGAAGTACATGAGTTGGTATTCTATTTATGATATGGACTGCAGCTAAGATGCAATCTATCCAAAAATGAACAGGTAAATGTGCATGAAATAGAAAGGCTCTAGCAACTTGGAGAATGTGTTGATGTTTCTTTTCTACTCTAGCATTTTGTTGAGGAGTCTCAACACAACTTGTTTGGTGTATTATACCAGTTTCTCTAAAAAAATCATGCATGAGAAACTCTGTGCCATTGTCAGATCTCAGGGTTTTGATAGTTTTATTGAACTGAGTTTTAGCAATGTTGTAAAAATGTTTTATGCTGGAAATTGTATCTGATTTGTTTACCAGAGGATAAACCCAAGTGACTCTAGTATGATCATCTACAATGGTTAAAAAATATTTATGTCCAGCATAAGATGAGGTGGAGAAAGGACCCCAGAGATCACAATGGATAAGTTCAAAAGGTGATGATGCAATGGAATGACTAATGGGGAATGGCAACCTTTTTTGTCTGGAAAAATGGCAAACATCACAAGGAATATTGTTGGTTTTACATTGTGCAGTAGGTAAATCCAACTGAGACATTTTATTAAAAGATAGGTGACCAAGTCTGGTATGCCAAACATCAGAAGAAACATGAAAATTACAGGTGTGTACATCAGAATTTGTGTTATGAGCAGTATGGGATACAGAGTTTGAGGTATGATCAGTATGGGATACATAGTTTGAATTATGAGCAGTATGAACAGGTAATGAAATGGGATTATAGGGGTCAAATAGGTATAGCCCATCTTTGGCCTTAGCAGAACCAATCATGTTGAGTGATGTCATGTCCTGCATAATGCAATGTGATGCAAAAAATTTCACTGCACAATTGTTTGTAGCACATAATTTTGATACAGAAATCAGGTTATATTTAAAAAATGGAACATATAAAGCATGCTTCAGAGTAAGATATGAAGATAATGTTATATCACCCATATGAGAGGCAGTAGTAGTGTTTCCATTAGGCAAATTAACAGAAATAGAGATATGCTGCACATTAGATGTGAAAAGAGAAAAATCACATATCATATGATCTGTGGCACCGGTGTCCAAAATCCATGTATAATTATGCTTATCAGTATGTGCAGAACAAGATAGAAAGTAAGAGTTACCTGATGCAGTTGGTTGAGTTGGTTGACTGATGCAAACATTTGCTGTAACAGGTGTAGAGTTATCCAATGAAGAGTTGGATGCATTGGACTGTTCATAAGATCTCTTAAATGCTAAGAATTCAGTGAAGAGATGGTCAGTCATGGCAGTATCATTAGAGACAGTGGGATCACATTGTGAAGAAGTGATACTGTTGGCAGAAGGCCTTGTGTTAATTCTAGGACCACGAGGTCCCTCCCAATTCTGAGGATAACCAATGATTTGATAGCACCTGTCTGTGGTATGACCAAGATATCCACAATGATTGCATTTAGGTCGAGGTTTGGAGGGATCTCTCGGTGGTTTGAATGTGTCAGAGGATTTTTGGTGTGGTTTAAAGTGTTTTGGGGGATAATTGGATCTGACTGCCATAGCTAATGTGTCTGAAGGTTTTGGATTAATATGGAGAGCTCTTTGGCTTTCTTCTTGGAGTAATAAGGAGTACACTTTGTTCAGCGAGGGTAAAGGGTTAGAAAGGAGAAAATGAGATCTGAGGGCTGAGTATGACTCGTTTAGGCCAATGAGAAACTTGATAACAGAGTCAGATTGTTGAGACATAGTCATCGAATCAAAGATATTACACGTACAGGAACTCATGGCACCACAATTACAACGGATAATCGGTCTGTATGTAAGATATTCGTCCCACAAAGCTTTGAATGAGTTGTAATATTGGGTGATAGTCATTGAGCCTTGATCCATCGTACTCAAGGATTTTTCAATTTGAAAAACGCGAGGACCACTGCTCAATGCGTATCTAGCCTTTAATTCATCCCAGACATCTTTGGCATTAGAGAAAAATAATAACGACTGTCTGATATCTTTGGAAATCGAGTTTACTAGCCAAGACAGTACAAGATTGTTGGCTCTTGTCCATGCCAAAAAATCAGTAGCATTAGTATGAGAAGGAATAGGTACAGTACCATCGAGAAGACCGATTTTGTTCTTGACTGACAAAGCCATGAACACCGCACGAGACCAGGAGACGTAATTTGTGCCATCGAACACTTCAGCAACGATAATAGCTCCTGGATTGTCGCTGGGATGCAGAAAATAGGGCGATAACGGATCGTCAGTGGGAATCGCCATGAATCAGTCGAGAATTATGTAAATCTGAACAGATCTGATCGATTGATACTTAGACAAAACCGAAATCGTACAAAAACCGAAAGGAGATGTACAGATCTAGGTTAAAATCAAGTATCGAGAACAACAAACAAAAAAGAAAACGAGAGAACCGAGCGTGTCAACAGCGGAAAAATAGAAATCTATGCCAGAATCGGGAATTTCCCGGCGACTGATACCATAATAGAACAAATGCAGTAAGCCATCGAGAGAGAAAAAGGAATGTTACTGTTTGTATTTCAGAAGAATGAAAAGTCTTAATGTGTACAAGAGAGAGAACCCCTATTTATACTTGGGGTTGAGAATGTAAATAATACAAGTCTTGTGGTAAAAAATATAAAAGATATAAAACCTATACATATTCTATTAGATACAAGTTTTCGACTTCATGTGTTCAATTCTCTTTCTTCAGTGATAAAAAAAATATAATAACAGAAAAGAAAGAAATGGGCTCTCATATTATTTTTAAAGGGAAACGAAAATGGCTCAAAACTTGGCCTACATCTGTACTCTGTTTCTACACATTGAGTGCAGTAAGCCACCAGATCAAGTCATGTAATTTTTCAACTGGACAGTTTCAAAACACTGAATCAACTACACTCAGACATTTGATCTGTACAGGACAAATATCAAGAACCATTGACACAAATCTATTGCCCAAAATATTCAAAAGAAAAAAAACATTAAAACATATCCAAAGTGAGAAAAAAGGAGAGCAACACTATTCCTACTCCTAAGTGGGCACAACCTCCACATAACTAGGCGATAACCAAAACAAAAAGCCCCCTGACATAACTAGCAACAGTACTAACTGTACCAAGAAATACAAACTGTACTTACAAACCCCTTTCTGTAACTTCATTATCTCATCTGCACGAGCAACGTCTTGGCAAATACTTTCCAACTTCTCAGCTTCTCTCTCAAGCAAGGCAGCTTTACTCTCAGCAGCTTCAAGCTTATCGAGTATCTGTGTTTGCTCTGAAACCAAAGCTTTTTGTTCTTCCAAAATAGGGACCTGATCTAATTCTGCAACCCTCAACTTTTGGACTGTTTTTGAAATTGCCATATATTCCACTTCAGCTTCAATTTTTTTCTTGAAAAGGTAATCTACTTCTGCTTCCACATCCCTGCTCGTTGTTTCTAAAACCTCGGATTTCACAGATTGGGAGAAACTATGCGGTCCCTCATATGGAATCTGCTCAAAGATCGTATTCTGTTTGTCGTCTATAACTTCCATGCCCGAATCTGAACCTGAATCATGGGCCAAATAATTTTCCCCAATTTCCTTAAGCTTTAGTAACTCTGCATGCAGGTGTACACACCAATCAGAAGGGGCCATTAAACTCTAAAAATAATTTATAAAATCCACAATTTTGAGTATATGAAAACAAGCAAGACTTTACAGGCTAAGGTGATAATACTCAAATATAAACAAGGAATTTACAACTCAAAATGACCTTTAAAATAGAAAAATAAAGATTCAACATGCCACCTCTATCAAAACAATCCCCGAGTGATTTAGAGAACATCATTTCTTCATTTTTGTGTAAAAAGTTAGTTCCTTTATCCTTTTAAAATATTCTTACACATCGAAAATGACAGGCTCTTCAGTAACCTTTTAGATGGAATTTTGTCAGGACCAACCTTTCTTGAGTGCTTCTTTTGCAGACTCGAGTTCAAACACGGACTCACGTAGAGGATCCTGATCGCTCAACAACCCATGATTCTCACTTCTTTCCTCCTTGACCTCCAAAGATGAGTCATCAACACCAGCTTCACATCCGGGTCCACCTGGTTCATCACCTCCTGCCACGTCATCCCCATTTCCGTACCGCATCCCATTATTTGCTGAGCGAGTTCCCTGCACAAATAAAAGATTGGAGCTTCGCGAGTCAGACTCCAAGCTGGAATGAGAGTTCTCCTTCAAGCTGACTTCTGAATTCGACAATTCATGTGTAATTAAGTTACTGCCCCTGCTCTTCTTCTTTGGGTCTCTCGTGATCCTTCTCCATTTCTTCAAGCCACGGCCTTTCCTGCTAGGGTCGACATGCTCGGTAACATCAACTTGATTTAGCTTCACCTTGTGGAACAAGTCACGATCATCACAATTTTCTACACGAGATCCATTTTTTCGAACCTCAGCTTTTTGGACAACATTTACGAATTTAGTGGGACCATTTAAAATGTCTTCGCTGTCTGTTACAGACTCGTGTACAGAGCACTCGCCTCCCAAATCCATCTACTGCGAAGAGAACTTGATTCCTACTTCTGAATGCAGGATTATGAGATTCCCCCATAATTTATATCGAGAACGAGCAACCATCATTCCAGCTCATTGGATTATCGAACAAACGGTAAATTCTGAAATCAAACTAATTCCATGACTGAATTTAAATTCGGTGGGAATTCAATTCAATGCGTTCGCAAAATAAAATAAAATAAAGAATGATCGGAGGGGAACTTAATTAACTGTAGCAGGAAATGATGAGCGTACCTTCGGTTTGGGCTGCTCCATAAATGAAAGTTGAATTTATTTTTTTGGGGAAGAAAACATTGGGGAATGGAATTATGGAAACCCTAGATTTGAGATTTATTTAGAGCAGATAATGCCTACTTTGATGGTTTCAGATGAATTTTTTGTTGTTGTAGGCTGTAGCAACAGTTATGTAAAATGGGGAGATGGGCGGTGCGCCGGTGGTGACGTGGCTGTAGCAACGTGAGAGAATGGGGAATGAGCCACAGTACTTAAGAATGAGTTTAATTAAATCTTTGCCTCTTCTATGCCATGTCTTCATTTTGTTTAGTGTTTATCCCTTTGAAATTAGAAATTACAGATTTCATATCATTTTTTTTTACCCTCCGGTTTATAATATTTATAATCGATTTTGATTGATCAAGTAAATTTTTTAGAAAAAAATATCGTTTTGGTATCTTAACTATATTGCTTTTCACTTTTGATATCCTAATTATACACTTAATCAGTTTACATATTTTATCTATGGCTTGTCCACCACTTTTGGAACTTCTTTGAATGACGACTTATCGGTTAGAACAAGGTGGGAGTGCAAAGTCCTACAAATTGTCTGGTAAGTTCTTGGTCATTCACTCTGTTCGATCTCAATCCGCGAACCTAGGTCACGTGACTCTTCATCCCTCGTGCGCACGCGTGAGGCCGGATCGTCGGCTCTTCATCCCTCTAACAATGTCACGTTGGTGTAGTCCTCTGCAATCACCAAGTATGTTAAAGATTTTTTTGTGAATTTATCGTCATTTAACTATTAATTTCAAGAAAAGATTTTTGAGAATTTGCTTGAATCAGGCTTGAATTTGATATTCGACAATTAGATTGAATTCGAGGAGATATGATTGAAGAGAATTTGATTGAATTTGGCTTGAAATTGATTGAATTTGCGAAGAGATTTAAGTGATTAAAGAGAATTTGATTGAATTTGTCTTGAATTTTTTTCATTTAACGCTTGATTTCCGAAAAGATATATTGAAGAGAATTTGACTGAATTTGGCTTGAATTTGTTATATTTAACCAGGCTACTGGAGGGGTGATGGATTCAGTTCACTGGATAGTGATTTTTGGTGTTTAGTTTGGTATTTTTTTTTTTACCTTTACGTTTTGTAAATAAATATGAGGGTGATTTTGTTGTTAGCTCTTTATGATTCAATTGTGGTGGCTAGGCTCATCTGGTTTAGCACCATTCCGGTGAAAGGTATTTTAAGTGTATAAGAGGTTGTGGCCCTAAAATTTGGGAGATTGTAGATTGTCTATGTCCAATACTCCGATTCCACCCAAACAACAAAAATCACTCTAGTTGCGAGTTTCACTTTATGTTTAAACCTTACTTGTATATATTGCACTTAGTTTTGCAGTATATTTTAATGTACTTTCTCTTGAGTATTCTTATTTATATGTTAGGATCTTGTGTTGTGGACATTTTAATGTGCATTTGGTTTTGTTAAAGGTACATAACATGGCTGATAACATGAAACGTTTTTTCAAGACCATTATGGATGGGGGAAGGCCCACACTGGTATCACATGTTCCAACTATTGCAATTGCCTATTACCTTTTTTCATTATATTTCAGTACATAAATATTATACATGCTCTGACAAAAAACTTCAATATCACGCTTTCGCCTGCTATCCACAATCTTACTATCGCTGAGTTGCAGCCTCGCACTAGAGAAGGGCGTACCTATCAAGTAACAACGAGGTGGCTGGATAATCACTTGCACTTTGTTGATGGTTGACAGACTTATGTTCATAGGACATTCATGATGGGTACATTATTTTCTTCGAAGGAAACATTCTAACTGAGATAGAGATAATTGTGATGCCAGAGACTGCTGTTGAAAGGAAACCGCAATTCGCGTCAGACATAAAGCTAACCACGTTGAACGAGCACGCTTGTTAAGCACTTATCAAATATTGTATAACCTCATTTATAATTTATTGCAATATTGCTTTTGTAGCCAATTTCGATGCATTTCTGGAAGTCAAACATCTAGAACCAAAAGAACAACACCGCTAAAGCAATCCTTCGGGTTAAGGGTGCAAAATAGCAATCCTATGAAGTTAGGATAATTCAGGGGCATGGGAAAAAGTTGATGCAAAATGGTGTAGCTAAGGAATTTCTTGAAGACAATAAAATTCGTGAGGGGTTTAGATGCATGTTCATGCTTCTTTCAAATGATGATGTTACAGCTTTCAGGGTTACAATGTAGATGTTGAGAATATGAGGTTGTCATGTAGAAATTTTCAGACTTTGATGTTGCATGACTTTGGGATGATTGCATTGTATTTACATGTGCCTTTGAAAAATTTTATTTTATGTCTTTTGGCAAATATTTTGATTAATTAAACGTTTTCTTTAATTTTCCCTTTGATTTAATGTGGTGTGGTGAATATTTTATTTTTTTTCACTTTTCTGAAAGTTTTATGCTGAAAGTCGAGTTGTTTTGCTAACACAAGATAAGAGATAAATTTTCCCTTTTCCTATGCACTTCCAACATGTTCTAAATGGTCAGTCGTCAGTCAAAGATGACTGACTAACGATTTGTACCAAAAGTGATGGACGGGTGATGTACAGCGTGGTAAACGATTGGAAAATACGAGATAAAACTCACAACATTTTATTAACACTCAATAATAGTCGATCGGCTTTGTGCATAGGGAAAATAATATATAGAGTCCCAACTTTCCTAATTCTACTTATCTTGCCTTGTCAAATACTATTTACTTACCAACCTTGATAAAATAACTAAAGTAATAAAATAAAAGGACTAATAATAATAGGAAATAAATAATCTTATACGGAGCCGATCATATTTATTCAGAAATGCCATCGCGGTCTCGCCTCCATCATCATCTCTCCGTTGAGAAGGATTCGGCCGCGAATCCAAACCGGTCTCGTCGCCGTAGGAGTTGTCACCAGTGAACGGCAAATGCTTGACGGAAAATGCTTGACGTTGAAGACATCAGAAGTGCGAACGTGCAACGAAAGGTGGAGACAATAACCTTTAGGGTTGATCTTCTCAACCACCTCGACCGGACCAACCTTCCGAGTAGACAACTTTTTATACTCATGGGCCGAAAACCTATCTTCGTCAAAACCGCCTAAAAAAAGTCGCCTACCTCGAACTCCACGTGCCGACGGCGAGCGTCCGCCTGACGCTTATAAGAAGCTGTCGTCGCCTCCAAACGAGCACGAGCCGCAGCATGAGGCAACTGCAAATCCGCGATAACGTCTGCAGCCCTCCGATCAACGCCCGCAGAGTTTACTTGGTGCCTAGTTCTTGTGCTGTCAAGTTAAATAGATAATCCCCTTCACAATATTTCATGATGTAGTCTTTTATGAGGAAAGGAAAAAGAAAATGAATACAGGCTCAACTCTTCAGCAACCGCATGAAATCTGGAAGCAAATTAGGCAAAAGGAGAAGCTAATGCATTACAAAAAGAGTAAACCTCAGCTTACTAATTATGACCCTTGGAAGAAACCCAACAAGGAAAAAGTTAATAAGTACTTATTTTGGGGGTTTTTGGGAAGAAATTTTCCAGTGAGGGTTGCAGAGAGTGGTGGAAGACCAGATACCATCATAGGCTTTAGAAAATGGGAAGCATAGATAAATAAAACCATCAATCCACAGGAATGAAGAGAAAAGGTTACATAAAAGAACAAGACAAGTATGTGAAGCATTCAAAAGGGGCAAAACTAGTTATTCAAATATTGTAAAAGAAGAAAAAATTGGAGGAAGCAAAAAAGTGTCACCATCATCTCGTCAGACCATTATCACTAACAATAGCTCGATGGGATATTTCCAAGTAATCAATCTTGGAAGAGCAAGCATCATTCAGCTAAAATTCCTTATTCATACTTGATTTGACACTGTAAGTCTGCAGCCGATCTAGATATGAGCATTAGTAATCAAAAACTCAAATCATAAACGAAAAAAAATGTCTTGTTGCTGCTGATCCTAATACAAATATTTAAATACTGAGGCTAATAGTGCCAAATTCTGGCCCAACTCTTCTACCTTAAAAGAAATGAAACAGTCATTTTCATTAGCTGCTCATCAAAAATTAAGAAGAGACAATAGCCAATCAATGTACACCATAGCAAATTTGCTTATACATCTGATATACGTTCATGCTGCAAGCGTATCACCAGCATAATCAACCACCAGGTGAGGATACTTTGGCAAAAAGATCCTCTTTTTTTACAATTGTACTTGCATTGTTTCAGCTTAACAGCTCCACACATTCTCAATAATCTTTGTTATTCTATAACATCTCTGAGCCATCAATAAAATCAAGAAAAAGGAAACTCTTCTTTCTAACGCAAGATAAACCCAACATCATCGACAATAAAATCACAGGCTCAAGAAACTGATACAACACACCAAGAAGAAACAAAAACCCAAATTCACAAGAAAAACAATCAAGCAAATCATATCCACACCGAAAGAAGAAAAATTTACAATCATGAGTCTGTTTCACTACACCGGCGGGCTAAACGGAATTCCACCACTTGGAATACCGGAAGCAGTCGGCTTCGAAGTGGAGACAATCAATCCGTTCGAAACGGCGTCGTTCTCGTCCAGAAAGAGGCCTTCAGGATTCCTCAACACTCCATGGACGACAGAGATAAACAGGCCGAGGCCCACGCCAATGGACAGGCTGTTGAGCGGCCCCGTGATCCAGAAGGCCACGATGGAGATCAAGACGATGCCCAAAATCACGGCCCAATCGCTGACGTGGTGGCCCCAAACCAGGAGCGGATCTTCCCGGAAAAAGTAGAGGATCAGCCAGAGGAAGTAGACGAAGCCGATGAGTAACAAGGCGATCGGGGAGCCGAGGAGGGAGACGGCGGCACAGGCGGTGATNAGGGGCGGCACCGGGAGAGGCTGGCGGACAGGTTCTGCGTCGATCGAAAAATGACGTCGACGCCGGAGATCGGGATCGTGGTGTACGTGGCGGACGAGGGGGGCATTTTTGGAATCGAGGGCCGAGATTTGACTTTGGAAAGGAGTGTAAGTGAGGTCAAACTTCGACAGCTGTCTCCTAGCTGCTGATATGCTCTGTGGTTGGCAGCATATGTTTGGAATTTTTGGAGGTGCGATCCTTGTGTCCAGACGCACCATACTGAGTGATTTTAGGGTAGAATGACTTTTAATTTGATTGGATCTTTTTTCAAACTGGAAAGATAATTTATTTTCAAACTGGAAAGATAATTTATTGAAAAACTGTTTTATCTTATGTTTTTGTATTTATTACATAATTGCAAATATGATAAAGTCTTTATATTATTATTAGTTATGAGATAATTGTGCATTTTGACGATCATGAAACATGTCTTTGAAGTGTTAATCTTAAATAATTTCCAGGTGAATGGGTGTTTCGAGACAGGACGTTTTGAATAAGGCGATAAGACTTGTGCATATGATGCATGCTCGTTGGACGAGAATGTTGAATTCTATCAACATTAGTGTGTGTACGCAAATACATATGTGCGAGTGCTTGTTTGGGATTACAAGTTAACTAATCATGGCCCGGTGAGAATTCTTAGCTACAAGTTTTTCACTGTCTTTTTTTTTCGAAAAGATAAACTTCAAACGCATAATAAGAACAGGCTAACTAGCTGGAAAACAGGAGGTCTGCCCAAGGTAGCCTAAATGCCACTATACAACACGATTTACAAAAAATCAAAAAACACTCCCATGGGAGAATACACAAACTTCACAAATGAAGAATATTGAAGACCAACAAACAACAATACAAACAACCACAAACTCCATAGATGGAGAAAACAGAACACCAAACAAACACCAACAGACGCACCAACACAGCCACACAAACACCACAAACATACTAAAAAAACAAAACAAAATAAGCCCTCCCTAAAGCCGGCAACTATCCACCCACGAAACTAGGACCACAGCCCAAGAGCGAAACCTGAAACTCCAACCGCCAACGAACGACAACGGCTAACAAAGAACCACCACACCTCGAGTCGTGCCACCCATCCACAGGGGTCACTCTAGGCCACCTAGAGCTCGACACCACAACTGCATCCCAACACAATCACCACAGTTGCGCCATCCTCCGCGAAAAAAGGCGCCTCCACCAAAGGAAGTTTGTCGGTCGTGTTGAGGTTCAATTAAGAACGTCGATTCATGCAAGTCACAGATCTAGCTTACGAAAAATAAACCTAAAGCGCATAGGACAAAAGTTAGGATTGAACACTTACGGCTTAAAACTTTTGCAGGCTCTATACAGAGTTACATGCCATACGGGGCCGGACGATCGATTTTGAGAGATCTTCTCGTCACGTCTTTCGTGTACATCTGAGGCCTCGAACAATTGACGAGATTAGATGCTTGTCGTTGAGGATCGATTGTTGTCCGGGTTGCATGCGTGCTGGTTGTGCTCGGTTGTGGGTCGCGCAGGGCAGCGGGCGGCGCTCGGCTGCATACAAATCATGCTCTGTGGCTAGGCGCGGGTTGCATCGAGTTGTGTCGCGGCTGGCGGTGCTTGCACTCGGCGGCTGTACACGGCTGATGGGAGATGCTCGGCGGGAGTCTCGGGTTACCTCGGGACTTCTGTTGTATGACCTTTACATGACTTCACTCGTTTTTGTGGGCGACTCACAAAGCTCTCTTTATTATGGTGATAAAAAATTTCAAGAGAAGGTTATAAGCTACAACATGGACCCTAAAGAGGTGTCAAATATGAGCTTCCAAGTATAGGGCTAACTATGGGCCAAGCCCACTATGCTCATACTTGAACGATATATCAGTCCACTAATGAAATATCGTTGATCTACCCATTTGGTTCCCAAATTACATTTGAGGCTCCGATAATAGGTATTCGATTTACCTCACCTTGTTTAAGATATAATATCAGTCAATTAATTAATTATTGATTAATATAATTAATTGACTTCTTGTGCCGAGACTAGTACCACTCAATTCTTTATTATTATATCGGAACTTAATCCATCTGCAGGGTTTAACATTAATAATATTTCTTGAGCTCATTTCGGGGACATCATCAAACTATCCACACGGTGACTGTAAATATTCGAACAACACATTATATACACAACATCACTACCAAAAACACGTTAGATTATTGATCCAGTTGGGTCTCACTTTTTGGTGAATCAAAGTAGCAGCTACTGTATGCACATGCTTGTTTATATCTTATGAGTTATGAGTACAAAGTAATTAACCGAGGTATAGTTTGTTTACAGATCAGTACAAAACAAACTTATCCTCTATAGGATCCGTTCAATACACACTGTACACTGTTGTAACCAATCAGTCAAGACAGACTGTACAATTGACACTACAACCATTCACGATGGATTGTTCATTTCCATCTAGGTTGTGAACTATATTATTTATGTTTTACAAGTAACCAATATGATGAATTGTTCATTTCCATCTAGGTTGTGAACTATATTATTTATGTTTTACAAGTAACCAATACGTGGTCTTCTATGCATCCATCCGTGATGAACCACAATATCTAAGTGTAAGACATCAAAACATAAGACAGTTTAATAAATCATGATTCTCATTCAAAAGAAGATAGTGTTTATTACGCAAAAAGTCAAGCTTTAAATATATACACTAACAACCTCCCACATATACTAAAGCTTTCATTTTTCTTAGTATAGCTCTCTCAATCCTTATTCTAAAAGTCCTATGTCGATCCTATCGCCTAACATCTTACTCCAGTTCCCTTCACGTGCCTGTAAAAGACCTTCGTCGGCAGACTATTCGTGAAATGATCTGCAAGGTTGTTCTCTGATGCTATCTTGGTGACCACGATGTCTCTTCTTCCTACGATTTTTCTCATATCAGGTGGTACTTGCGATCTATGTGTTTACTCGCCATATGGGCTCGTGGCTCCTTCGAGTTTGCTACTGCTCCACTGTTATAACAGTAAACTGTAATACCTCGTTGCAAACTCGGCACCACATCCAAGTCCAATAGTAAGTTCCTAAGCCATACCGCTTCCTTCGCTGCCTCAGAGGCTGCGATGTACTCGACTTCCATGGTGGAGTCGGCCATGCATTTCTACTTGACACTCCTTCATACAATGGTTTCACCTCCCTGAGTAAACACAAACCATGAAGTAGATTTTTTTTCTTCCCTATTTGACCGGAAGTCGGAATCGGTACCCACAGAGATCAATTGATCCAATCGGTAGACCATATAATCCTTAGTCCTCTTCAGCTACCTAAGTATATGCTTCACCGGGGTCCAATGACCATGTCCTGGGTTACTTTGATACCTACTCACCATGCCTACTGCATACCAGATATCTGGCCTCATACACGATATAACATACATGAGACTTATTACTGCTGATGCATAAAGAACCTTTCTCATGTCCTCTATCTCTTGATACGTCTTGGGAGACTTCTCCTTACACAGTGGAATTCCATGTCGAAAGGATAGATACCCTCTCTTGAAGTCTTGTATGCTAAAATGAGCTAAGACATGTATGAAGACTGAGATAAGCACAACATTCCCTTCTCGGTGACAAATCACCTTGATGCCCAGAATGTATCCCGCTTCACCCAGATCCTTCATACCAAACTTCTCGGACAACCATAATTTACGTCTGACAACACCTTTACATTATTTCTAATGAGAAGGATGTCGTCTATATACAACACAAGAAACACCATCATGTTTCCATCAGTGTTCATCTGAACATTGAGTGAACCCGTACGATTGGATCACCTCATAGAAACAGATGTTCCCAGACCTTGAAGCTTGCTTCAATCCATAAATGGACCGATTGACCTTACAGATTGACCCCTAAGGATCAAATTGCAATAAATTATAAATTTCTTAAATTGCATTTCAATCCTAAGAGTTTGTCTAATTTTCACAAACCAACCCCTGCCCCAAATCGAAAATCCGATTTCACAAGCCAGCCCCTGCCACTCCAAATTTCAACCCCCGCCGGTCGTCGTCCATAAATGAACCCGACGGGTACTGCGAGGCGACGATCGAGTCGTTGGCACCACCGGCGAGACACGACTGCTTTAGAGGCTGGCGCCGCCGGTGAATGCGAGTGTTGCAAGGACTATCGCCGCCGGTGAGTGCAGCTACAGGGGCTAGAGAAGGTTGGGCTTACCGACTAACGACCGCCGACGACGGTCAACACCGATCAACAGCCGTTGGCCGACGGTCAAGCCTGTCAACGAAAATAACTTAATTTAAATATAATAATAATAATAATTTTTTTATTATTTATTAATGTGTTTTACAATAATTAATATGAGGCGTTGATGTACACAAAATTAATGGTTACAATTGAGTCCGCACTCGTGGACTCATTTGATCCACACGTTCTCTATATATATATTTTTACACACCACGTGTGTAAAAGACATTGGACACTACCCATGGGTCCCCGGTGAACCTTCCTTCAACTTATTTATATACATCCATAATGTGTACAACGGCTATATTTTCATGCAATGCCACTCATTATTATTGTTCAAAATCATTTTTTAAACGGCATTGGCCAGGATTGGAACAACACGCAGTACATTTCACACAAAAGCAATAAAATTCAAGCAAAATAAAGCAAAAGATTGCTCATAAAACAGATTGAGATTCTACTTAAATACATTCCTCATAATTTCTCCGCTAAATAATAGTCCCAGGCTCCTAGCTTTGCAAGAGCCCATCAACTATGTGACATGCAATAATGAACTGCAAATCACACATCCGTAAACACAAACATTATAATGTGGAAGAATCTATTTCATTTTCATATTTTTTTACTGTAGCACAAGAATATAAGTGAACTGTATATAATTATACACTCGTGTTGAATTTTTTCATATCTGATTTTGAACATAGGATGATGACTTGGTCTCACAGACAGAAGAAAACCCCAGTAATTAATCTTGTCTTCAATAAGCTTTCCCAATTCTTGTCATATATACTTTCTCAATTCTAATAAATAATACAGCTAGCTAAGTTAAAACCAAGTCATATGTTGACGGATGCATAAAGCTAAGCATGAACAAAATTAGGTACAATACAAACTTCCATTAAAGCAACATAGTTATGAAAAAGGAATTAATGCCTATATATATATATATATTCCAAACACTCCTAAGGATTCATGCAATCTCATGCAACCATAATATATCACTAGGCATGCATGCATAAAGAATCTATACACACTTTCACGCACTAACGAAACTGCTTATCTTGCAAGGTGAATAATGGTAAACAATTTTTCAGACAAATGCTGCGAGTTCCATGTGTTATCTCTCAACTTCTCTACTGTATTGGCCTAAAGCTATAATCTGAACTGAAAGGTTCTACATGATATATGACTTATACCAGCATAATCTGAATTGAAAGGTTCTACATGATATATGACTTATACCAGCATAATCTGAATTGAAAGGTTCTACATGATATATCCTTTAAACCTATATTTGTTATTTATGTCAACTAACTTCACATTCCTTTTGAGAACAAACAAGCAAGGAAAAGAAAAAGAAGACTTCTGATTACATTAATGGGCCATCAAATATTCCTAGTACATGAGCCACATCGAATATCTGTGAATTCAAGAAAAACCATGAGAGAAGTAAAAAGAAGGCCTCAGTTGATCAACTATGTAGGGAAAGTACGCAGTTGACGAACTAGGATGATGATGCAGTGCATTCGAACCTTCAGCTTTGAAATTAATCAATTTCCCAAAACTTTCGGCTTGTATCTTTCTGTTCTGAATAAATGGAGATCCAGCACAAAGAGGATGATAACCCCGTGTTTGATAATTTGCCATTCCATTAGTTGCTTTCATAGATTTAAAACCTCCGTGACCAATTTCTGGTGAGTCATCAATCACGATTATTTCCTTTTGTCTACTACCACAAAATTCCACATGCGGCTGGACATTAAAATATGGGTCCATTCTAAAGTTTGTTCCGATTTGCTTGCTTATCATAGCACACTCACTCGCATACTCGTGAGACTTCATAGACGAACTTAAGTTTCCGTCAAAACTATCACAAGGATGAGCAGAAAAGTACTGAATTGGCCTGAAATTACTAGGAGCCTTTTCGAGAATTGGAGATGTCATGTTGATTTGCATATTTTCAAGAATTGGAGGACCTCCAGAACAAATACGGCCAAAGTTGTGAGGCTCATTCGATAGATTGACAGTAGAGAGACCATTTTCAACACATGACATATTTGACCCGCTTTCATCTTTGTTCATCACAGTCAAGTTCTTTCCCATAAGCCGTAAAACCGGATTAGTATTAGACAGTGTAGGAGGCTCATTTGTTAAAAACAAACCTTCAGCTGTTTTGTTAAAAACTAGGCCACTAGAAAACTGTGCTGTTGAATTCGTAACAACCACTTCATGCTCCTCGCCTTCTCGTATTCTACACGTGGTCAATGAGGAACTTTCATTAAGTTCTTCTTCTGAGCTCATATGCCCTGGGCTCGGCAAAAACGAGCCTGGTGGTCCAGGTATGGGAATTGGGTCCACGTCAGCATAGTAGTTTCTTTGTGTTTCGCCAGAATTGTTCTTTTCTGCAGCCTCATCATTACTGCATTGAGGAGCAATTACCAAATCTCTGCCTACTTCATCGCCACAAAACATTGAAATATGTTCGACATTGCTAAAGGCTGCAAAACCATTATATGCATCGCCAAAAGGATCGATAGTTTTCCCAAATTCATCGTGACGAATGGATTCAGATGAGGTCTCGTAAGCCTTCGAGGGAAGGTCTCCTTTGCCGGCATTTATGAATCCTTCTTTCTTCTTATGGTTTATTAAAACCCTAGTCTTGTTAAGCAATAGCTCATTATTAGAAGCATTTGTCGTTAGACCTTCACTGTCTTGTCCATAAATTCGAATTCGTGACAATATAGTCTCATCTTCCGATTCGGATTCACAGCAGGGTCCGTGTTTATTGAAGTCCAAATGATTTAGACGCAATTTTTCCCTTGAATCCAGAACTGATTGATGCCTGACAGAAGAAAGAAGTTTTTTCCTCAAAGATGAAAACTTCATACCACGAGATGTCATTGCACGACTAAAAGAGTTATTTCTCGGGTATGAAAACTCATTGGCTCCCGGTGAAAACGTATGATGATGCTGGGACGTTCTTGAGCTGAGAGAAGAACTATCACCAGTCTTTATTCGCGGTTTTTTTTCACGTTTTCTCGAAAGTGAACTTTCATGCTCGAGATTGACCTTCTCCCGGAGACCAGTTCGTTTTGAGCCGACCCACTGTTTAATCACTCTTCCCAAATAATCGGATTTCGACTGATCATTGGCTATGTGATGCTGTCTAAGATCCTTGAAACCTTTAGACTCTTCTTCCTGGCCGTTTTTCACCTACGATCGGTATATATATATATATATACATTTCAAATTTTTGCAAGTAATGTGTAATGCATTAATTAAGCATGTTTTTGTCATGAACATACTTATTTCATATTTTTTCTCTGCATATCATGATCCTCATGAGACAACATCTGACATAAATATGTAAAGGTAAACTATTATCAACATACCTTGGGCTCGGGGCAATAAAATCCCTGTCCATGAAGACAAGGATCCAAAATCTTGTTTTTCTGGACAAGACACTTTTTCTTCTTACTCATACCAAATTTGTTTCCTTTATCTGTTTTCACAGGCTTATCATATCCAACATTCTTACACGGCAGCAAATCACCGAGCTCTGATAGTGTCCGAACCTTTGTCCAATTCGTCCCGTTTCTTCGGTCAAGATCCTCCAATGTACAACGTAAGGCCGTCTCATATATGTCAGCCATCAATCTCGTTTTTTTTGGCTTTATTCTATGCTTGATCGACTGTTTCGGGTTCGAAGTCCATTTGATGGAAAGACACTGATCAATGTGCGCGTTTAGGGTGGTGTTGGAGGAAGATGAAAACATTTTGCAAACCGGGCAAACGTTTGAAGCCATTGTGTCTTCTTGGCTCGATTTTTGATTGTTCAGCTTTACAATATTCTCTGGAACTGAATTTGTGTAGGGAGAAGATTGATCTGTGGCTGGTGGAATTTTTTTGTCCTTTCGAGATACGCTTGAGTTCTCAGCTGCACATTTTGCAGTGGATTGGTTTCTCACTGAATCCAGAGTTTGATCGAAAGGCGGCAACACATCTTTCACTCCATATTTCAGACAAAGTTGCAGATTTTCCTGGGAAAATGGCCAGTTGTTACTGATATCTTTGGCCCGTGCACCAAAAACATAACCTCTGCAAGAAAATTTGTTGATGTTTATATACCAAAGTGCTTTGTGTTTCAGAGAAGCAAAGATGAAAAGATAAATCTCCAGACAGTGCGAAAAAGATGAACAGGATCAGTACAATGAACAAAATAATGCTCCTTGATACATACA